AATGTTAAAATAGAACAAAACTGATATGTAAATATAATGTTCACTTTTTTCTATCACTATAAAATATACACTTTATTCACTGGACGAAAATGATTTAAAACACTTTTATCTTAAACATTTTTGTTGTTCTCTGGTTCTTACACATATAACACGAGTTACAGCTTTTGTCATATATAAATAGTTTGCCACTAACGAAAAAAAATAACAAAAGGCAATTTGGTATTATTAGTTATATAGAAAATAATATCTGACTGTCTCGACCTGCATACATCTCCCCTAGTATTTATAACCGAACTAAAACAAAAAATTATTGACTATAAACTTGTAGTCGGAGTCATATCAAATTTTTGAAAAACACGACTTTTGGAAAAACGCGATTAAATTTAAATAATTGAATAAAACATGATGAGAGAAACTTATGACTTGGTCACTTGTGACAACTTAGAAAAAGCATGGGATAATAAAATAATTTACTGAAAATAATGGTAACGCTACCACCCAATTCAGAAGCTCATGGAAGAATCGAACACCCGATCATATTGGCGCGTCAATTACTCATCAACGAAAAGGATTCCTCTCGTAACTGAGAAGATGAAGCGTTTCGCGTACATAACCTGCGTTATGTTCTCAATAAAGAGACGATCAAAGGATTAGAAAAATGGACGCGTGTTAAGCAGCTAGTCATATCGAGTACTCGAAAATTACGAGTACTTGAATGAATTCGAGCACTCCAGTAAATTCGAGAATTCGAAATTTTCGAGAATTACTAAATTAATTAATAGATAAATGAATGACTACATATTTGAAATTACAAACTCTTGAAAAAATAGTAAATAGCTTACAAACAATCGAATTTTCAAATTCAATTTACACAAAAACTATTTTTGAATACTGGATTATTTTAAGTACTCGAAATTTTTGAGTACTCGAATTCACTCGAGTGATCGAAGTTACTCGAGTACTCGAATCATTCGGGTACTCAAAAACTTTCCAGTACTCGAAAATTTCCGAGTTTTTTATACAGCTCGACTCGAACTCGACTGGAGCTCGAATTAATAATACTCGGCTCGACTCGAAAAAAGAAAAGCTTGAAAAATCTCCATCGATTATCGAGCTTTTTGCACACAACTAGAATTGAACCGTTCCATACACGTTGACTATAGTCTATAGTCTTTTGATTCATTTTTGTTTTATTGATTTTCTAACGAGCCCTATATGAACTATTTCTGCTAAACGGGTGTCAAATTAATAATAAAAATTATTTAAATAATTAATAGATAACATTTGAAGAAATGAAGATAAATAGTCAATTTTTTTTTATTTGGAAGGTCATCTAATTCTGTGTTAAATAAAACCAGTGTAAATAATATTTTTAACAAATTTAAATTATTAACAGATGGTTATTGAAAATCGATCTCTCAGCACCTTACGACACAAGTTGGTGGAGACTGTCTACCTACTCGGCATGGTATTTTTCAGTTTTTTTCTAAATAACATTTTATAATTAATTTTTTGCTTCCTCGTGGAGGAAGCTTTGTAGTTCTTTCGTTTATAAAACTTTTCAAAGTGGCGGAAACAAAATATATGAGATCCTGATCAATTGTCCGGATGTATGTGTGTGTGTGTGCGTGGATCCCTTTTTTGTTTAGAAGATAACTTTAACAGGTTTTAATGAATTTAGATAAAATTTGGTAGGCTCATTTATCATATTGATATCTCAAATCTGACAAAAAGATTTTGAAAAATACCCAAAAAAAAATTTTATCTTTTTTTTCCAAAAATTGTTTTTTAATTGAAAAAATTTTTAAATAGAAAAATTTAAGGTTATATATAATAAAATCGTATTCCTTACGTCAAGACGAATCGATCGATATATGGGCATATCTCTAGAACTTTTAAACTTTGAGATATTAGAAAAATTAATTTTTTTTTCAGGGCACATTCGTGAAACAAATTTTATTGTCTTCAGTATTGATCAAATACTATAAAAAAATTTGCGTAACTCATTTTTACACATTGTTACGCATCACAGTGGGCCTTATTGCAAAAAACCTGCCAATATGGCGGACGACTTTAAAAAATTGATCGAATTTGTCTGAAATTTGTTTCTCGGGGTTTTTTTGGGTCGCTACCACCTTTAAAATGATTTAATGCTACAGTTTCGAAAATTTTATGATCTATTGCTTATTAAGTCATAAGTAAATGTAATTTATAACAATTTTTGAATTTTTTAAAAAATTTTGTTTGCAATTTTGGATCCACCATTTTGAATTTTAAAAAATTAAGTTCAGATTCGTAATCAGCGACCCCATAAACCCCCGAGTAACAAAAATTAGGCCAATGGGATCAATTTTGTAAAAAGTCATCCGCCATATTGAATCCGCCATTATGAATTTTGTAAAACTAAGTTCAGATTCGTAGTCAGCGACGCAAAAAACCCCAGAGTAACAAATTTCAGTCCAATTGGATCAATTTTTTTAAAAGTCATCAGCCATATTGGATCCGACATTTTGAATTTTGAAAAACAAAGTTCAGATTCATAATCAGCGACCCCAAAAACCCCCGAGTAACAAATTTGAGGCCAATGGGATCACTTTTTTAAAAAGTCGTCCGCCATATTGGATTCGCCATTTTGAATTTTGGAAAATTTAAAATTCAGATTAGTAGTCGCAGCGACCCCAAAAACCTTCGAGTGAGAAATATCAGCCAGATTTAAACACATCTATTAGTTAATACTTACTTTTCTTCACAAACTATGCGTCGTACAGTTTAGGTTTATATTCATTATTAATTATACAGTTTTAATGAAGTGTGCAAAGGTTAACTATTTTTCCGTATACTTTTATAATGCATGAGAAGAGATTACAATGAGTTGGGAGCATTTAGAAGCAAAATTCAACGTGTGCTTTTCAAATATGTGGTTTTTTGATTTAAGTTACGTTTTAAAATTTAATGTTTGAAGTCATTGCATTCTTTGTGTAAAGGAGGCACACATTCCTGTATGGGTTCAAATTACTTCTTATTAGGTAGATAATATAATCCCGTTGTGCCGTTACTCAAAAACCTTCGTTAAAAAAGTTATATCAGTTTAACTGCTAACTTGTAGAAATTTTGAAAAAGTTGTCTCGCAAGTTTGAAGCTACATAGTTTTTATTCAATTTGAGGCACATCATTGTTTTATGGATTTTTTAGTTCTTTACACTCCCACCTACTTCTATTGCAAGCCACAAGACACAATGTTTCGTTAAAAAAGTTACTGTCTATAAACTAAAAAGAACAGTCAATATCACACACTAGAAACTGTCGATTTCACCACTTTAACTTACGTTCGTCATTTCCTACATAATTAAAAAAATTATATAACGCATGATACATTTAAAAAGCCCTATAATTGGTCAAATTATGGTATTGAAAAATTATTACAAAAATTCTTAAGGTATCATAATGAGCGACAACATAAAGTTTAAAAGTTCTAGAGATATGCCCATATGCTTTATTTCAATTTAATAAACTTTACTACTTGTTAGGTTACCGTTCACGCAGTGAACCGAAACGGAACTCTTTTGGTGTCACTCATGTCCATCCACAAAATCATGTCTCCCTATCTAAAACGTAGCCATTTCAACCGATTGAGCTCAAACTTGGCCTACAAACGTATTTTCGCGAGTAGATTTAACGAAAATTATAGCGAATCCGATTGGAATTGAATTGTATATAGTTATATTCCAGAAACTCGAAATTTCGGAAAAAACGTGTCCCCCCCCCTTTACTTTTACAGTTCCTTTTTATCTTAACTTTAACAATTTTTTAGCCAACTATCACAAACTTTGTACATATTTTGTATATATTTACAAGAAAATTGAAATAAAATTATAGGAAAATTATTTTTTTTAAATATATATTATACATTTTATAATCGTGAACGGAACCCTAGGTAAGAGGGTGTAACTTGCACATGACCTATTTTTTGTACAATATTTAAAAAACGTGTATTTACACGAGTTTACCCCCTTAACTATACATTTGGTAGCATCTGAAGTGAAAAACTTATGTATACTATAGAGATTCATACATCTAATTATAGATTAGTAATGTAGAATCATATTCTACAGATAGAAAACTAATTTTTAACTACTTTTTAACATATTATAAAAAAATGTAAATTATAAATTTTTAGAACCCGTCTTTATAAGGTGTTTCTTTTAATATCCACGTGTCTTTATATTTGATGTTCGATGTTCAATATTTTTGAGATTTTGAAATAACAAATTGTACCTGAAAAGGATGCATAATGCATCGAAACGTTGTACATTAATTTTTCAATAAACAGCAAATATAATAACCGTTTTATAGGCCTCGTAGAAATTTTTTTAATCAATGTTAATTTAAAACGGAGTAAAATAATAATCAATAACAAATCTATTTTAAATGTTGGAACTTGAATACCAATATCTATTTTAGAAGATTTTTTAGATGCTTTCGTAGTAGTGAACTTATTTTTTTTAATTCATATTTAAAATATTAAAGAAAAATTCAACAAATTTCATATATAATAGGTATTATTTTTTGTTATTAGAATAGAAAAGAATACATTTCAAAAGTACTCTGTTTCTGACGACGTTAAATTTTAAAATATCATAACTCCCATAATTTTTATCAAATAAAAAATACGTATTTTCTAAGTTTTTATAAATTTTTTTGAAAAACATATTCAAGTCAAAAAAAAACTTTAATGAAAATCTGACGTGGAATGCCCCATGTATAAATTGTTATAATTAATAAATCCTAAATCTGGAGTTAAAGCTACTATTTTTTGGGAAGTATGTAGAACGGCTATAACAATTTTTTCATGGACAAATAGATCTAACTTAGATGAGACGCGAATTTTACACTATTGTATCTTATTTGATCAGTTAAGAACAAGTTAAAAAATAATTTATCACTTTGTTTACATGAGTAGAAAAAACACATTTTTATTTTTTTATGAATTTTTGGTCTAGAATGCGGCGTCAGTCTTACTGCTCAAGTTTCAACAGCAGCAATGTTGGAGGAGAACCTCTTATCGTTGTAGAAGAAAGCTTACTTGGCGAAGAGGAATCAGAGCTACAGAGAAATGATGTAACTTCTGGATGTTTAGATCCTGATTCACCATCTCTAAATCCTTATCTCTTATCACCTTGGCGTGATAGTCGAAAACACTCCTTGCCAACTCCACAATGTACTTCAGGAATTACTGCGTCTCAAGTAAGATATTGTTGAAATAGATTTAATAGACAAATTAGAAAATGAGTCATTTTACTTATTTTAAGTAGGAAATAAATGAATCATTCATAGAACTAAGGTAAGAAAGAAGGAAGGACCTGTATATAAATTACTTGAATCCTTTAACACGCAAACAAATCAAATAAATAGTAATTTGTATCAAATAAATATGAATAATTTAAACTAATAAATATTGCTTTAAATCAATTGTGATGAAGTAATTCGTCACAATACAATTTTCGACTGGGGTTGAGATTCGCGCGTTTAGGAGTCCGGTACGTGGCGCCATCACGGCGGCGACTATTGAAACGGGACGAGGAAGAAGGCTATCGAAAGATCCAATCAATATGGCGAGAGAGAGTTCGTGCATTGCAGTTTGTTAAGGGAGAGATTTTGTGCTTTTCCCGGTTTGCCAATTTCATAAAAAAATTGGCTGGCGTTTGACATTTTTCACGTTGGGACATTCTTTTTGTAACATTAAAAAGGGATATTTAATTGACAATTCTTAATTAAATTAATTATTTCGTTATAAAAATTGGCGCCCAACGTGGGGCCTCGTTAGGAAACTTGGAGACACGACAAAATTTTGTGACATTCTCGACTTGATATTTTCGACAGAAAATATTTTGTTGCTTGTTTTATTTTTTATGTATTGAATTTTTTTATGTTCCTTTTGTGAAATTATAATTTGCGACATGGTTGAAGAGTTTTAATAGTCAGGTGTAAAGTTTCCAAAGATTAATTTCTTAAACATTTATCGACCGATTTTGATGAATCGATTTTTCTCGGGATAGGTGAATTTTTCTGGAATTTTGTGCGTGGTTACATTTTGAAAAAATTATTTATTATTGTTAATTGTTTCCCACTAGGCCGGCGTATTAATTATATACCATGTGACTTGTCGCGTATGCGTAGCGTGTTAAGTGATGTCTCGGTGTTTGAATTTGAAACTCATGCTTCTCGACTTAGGAGAAGATAGAAATTTCAAACACTTGTGACTTGCGCAGTAGGGAATCTTGCGACTTGGAAAATTTTCAATGAACGGAGAATTTAAAAATTTTAAATGAAGCGAGTAAAATAAAATTGAGAGTCGATTAGTGTGACTTGTTGAAAAATTGTTAAGTTAACAAAAATTAATCCAGGGCCGTATTATTATCGCGACGGTCATCTTATAAAAAGAAAAAAAATTTTATAAGTGGAAATTTTTGTAGGGAAAATTTCTTTTACGACAAGTCAAGTAATTGTTTAATTTCCTTTTGCTTACCAGGGCCATGTAAACGGACCGACGGGCCCTATGAAAAATTAATTTATATTTTACGTGAGAATTTTTAAAGGAGAAAAATTCTCATAATGACGACCCGATTATAAAATTAAATTTTACGAGTGACCAGTGCCGTGACTAATAGAGAGCGGGCCCCAAAAATTATTTTTTTTACCAAATTTAATTTTTGCGATAGATTAATCTTTACGACAATTTATTTTGCGAAAAGCAAGTGGTGTTAATTTAATTGTCAGGGCCGTACCTATAAAGACTGGCACCCTTATTTCGAGCGTTCCAGATAATAAGTGAATATTTTAGTCAATAAAATTTTCCCTTTCGACTAGTCGAGCAAGTGTATAAAATTTATTGACCAGGGCCGTATTAACAGACCGACGGGCCCTTCAAAAACTAATTTACATTTTTTCGTGAAAATTTTTAAGGGAGAAAAATTTTCTTTGTGGCGACTCGATTATTAAACGGAATTTCATTTTATTTTTATTTTTGCTACGATTTAAATTTTTTTTGTGTTTTTCGACAATTAAATTTCTCAATCATTCAAGATGGCAGAGCCTATTGAACTAATGCATTTCTGCAAAGAAACGATGCGTCACTTGTTCACAATCCAACAGGCGAAAGAATTATGGCAAGTGATTATAGGGGTGCCGGTAGGACAAGTGGTAACGAGGCTGTTGACTAATCAATTATGTATTAGTGGCCCGTTACAGGTTTTACGAAAATGACTTTTTCGGGCAGAATTAAAACTCACGCTTCCCCCAGAAACTGACATACCCTTTTGCGACGATTACGATAAAGGGAATTCAGTTAAAATTTTTCAGTTTGATGCATTCACGGAATAAGAATTGTTGCCCAACGTAAATCTTGAAAGGGGAAGTGAGTTTTATTCCAGTAGATCAACAAAGTCAAAGAGCCATGAGAAAAAAGGAGGGACATAAATCATCGCACAGCAGGCTAAGTCCGACCACCGATGACTTTCCATCCCCTCCACCGCCCCTTCCACAATCACCAGTCAGCGGTTCATTCTATGAATTCCGCGCCAACGACCACTGTGAATTCTGCCCCGTCAATGAGGGTTTCAGCGACAATGTCGCCTGGTGTAATAAGCCTGCAACAATCTATAGCCAGATTTACTTTAAGTCCAGAATTACAACAGCTAATCCGTATTAATAACCATTTAATGGGTGCTAGTATGGGTCAGAATGTGGGGGTTAATATAAATTTTCACCGGCCAACTCAAAACCCAGTAGAATTTGCGACAGGGGAAGGGGATGAAATAACTTCGGTTAATCAGGATCAATGAAGAGGAGAGAGTCCCAACATCATCCCTCACCCTACCCCCCACGACATCAACAATGAGAATTAAGTAAATGGCCGACCTTTCACTCTCGTCGGCGTCACTTTTACGCGCTTTCATTTTTGTGGTGAGTCCCAGTGAAAGTAATTAATAGACATTCTATTTGTCGATAATCAAAATATCACTAGTCGATAATTATTATTATCGATGCCGCTGGTAAGGTAGATCGCAACCCTACCAGAAAGCGTAGTGGTGTCCTCTATTCAAAATGGCCGCCCTCATTATTTTGACAGCTGAGTAAACAAGTGCGTTTTCGTCTTCCTGGTGCTCTTGAATTTTCGGGAATCTCATCCGAATATATACCAGGAAGCACTTTCCTCGTTGTCTTAATTGATTTTCCTCATGTGTAAAGACTTCAATTGGATTTTTGTGCGAAGTAGAGGATTAATTCCGACCGGATAATTGTTGTTTAAAAAGAGAAGTTTTGGAAACAATTAATATAAGAGAATTATATTTTATTTTGGTTCAGTGTACGATCTGACGAGTGAGCAGGTTTTTATGATTCAAATTATTAAATTATTATTGATTAAATATGTTGATTTTAATGAATTTTTATATTTTAATATAATTAATTATTTTTAAATGTTTTCAGGGTTTAAATGATTTCCATTATGGAAATCATAATAGATTTTTTGCAAAATTAAACAAATATTGTAACGAGCATAAAATGCTTCGTCACACTCCCCCCTGCTAAGACTCGGCCTAAGGTTTCGAGTAGGTCAGTCCCAACTCACAGTGGGGCCAAAAACACGTCCGTGGACAAATTAACTTAGAGCCTACAAATTTCAACCGATTTTGACGTTCTTTGAATTGACTTAAAGGTAATAAAATTCCACACAGCGCTGTCGTTTTTGTTTTTTTAAAAAAAAATTTTTTCTATTGTTTATTTATTGTTAAAGTTGAAAAATTTTTTTTTTCTTCTCTAAAAACTACATAAGTTTTTCAAAAAGGACGGTATTACATCAACAAAGCCTAAAATTGTTAAAGCAATGATTTGAGAACATTTTCTGAGATTTAAATAATTGTTTAAAAATTTTTTTTAATTGTTATTAACAAATTAGCGGACTAAAGACGATTTAATTGTTTTTTTTACTTTTAGCAATTGAAATGCATGTAATCTTTTGTATTTAAGGGCCAAAAGTAATTAACATTGAAAATAATTATTATAAACTAATTATTGTTATTTTTTAAACAATTTTTATAAACAATTTTCTTTATCTTAGTTCTTTATAACTAAATTATTTAAATATTGTGTTCAGTCTACTATATTATTACTCAAGATGAACAAATATTGCTAAATTTTGACAATTTTCAACTTAGCTTTGTTTAAACAACTCTTAATTAACAAATACACAATGACGTTGTTTTTAGTTGTTTCAAATTCGTTTTTTTTCAAGACTCCTTCCCACGTGAAAAAGTTCCCGGAAGACTCCCGGGAATCTCCCGGGAATTTCTCAGAAAAAATTCCCGCAAACTTGTTAACCCTTACGTGAAGCATTGTAGGTGTCTCTGAAACAAAAAACTTTTGTTTAAGGCGTAAAAAATTTTTGTAAGTATTTAAAAAGTTTCATTTAACACTAGGAAGTACCCAGAAGCATATTTAAAGTTTAGGTTATGAAATTTCAAATCCAGACAATTTTGTTGGTATTTTTGTATGTTACGTTTAATACTTCGAGAATGTTTTATAGTTAAAAAAAATTAATCAAAATGTTTTATTCTGTAATTTAGTAAATGTCTGTACATAAAAGTTTAATAAAAATTAAAAAAATCAACGATATTTTTGAAGATATTTTAGTTGTTTTTCAAGAATTAAAAATATAAATATAAATTGATAAATAAATAATCAGAAGAAAAAATTTTAATTATGATAAAAACTTTTTGTTTGAAATTACATGGAATAAATAATTAACTGATTTATATTTAATTTGACAGAGACAGTTGATAAAAATCAATTGACCTAGGAGCAAATATTTAAAGGTTAATTGAAGATATTTGATTTTGACTGAGTTTAGGTAATATGATAATTGCTTCTCGTAAACGATTGAGCTGTTTAACATAAACTTCCCTGAAAAAGTTTATGAAAACGACCTGAACACTAGGAAAGTATTTTGAAACTTCCTAGTGATCATTTATCACGTTTTAAGGTTAACTTGTTCCAGAAGTTGACGAAAAATTACCCTGAGTAATCATAGGTACCTGGAATTCTCTTGTAGCGATCGTCTTTCATATTTTAGGGTATTCTTCCTCGAAGAAGTTATCGAAATTTAACTAACTTTTAGAGAAGTACCTGGAGAGATCCTAGTAATCGACTATTGATTTTTTTTCAGTTTAATACATTGGAAAATGTCG